CGATTAAAGCTGAGGTTCCACAGATTATTTAGGTATATAGTATCATCACTGAGTGATCCGAGCTTACGACAAGGGAAGCAAAGACAGACATCACAACACGTACCTTTACGTAGCTTCTAGGGAGATCGTCTCACCGTAGCTTGTTAATCTGGCAATTAAACGAAGAAAAACACGGCTGAATCGGTTAATCCATAGGTTGATAAAGTTTCTGGGCAATAATTTCTCATTTATAATCCATAATTACATTTTTATGTAAAAATCGCAAAGCAAAAGTTAGCTGCTAATGGTAGCCACCAGAGTGGCTGCTGCTTCCGGTCTTGGCTATTCGGCAGTCTAACACACACACATGACCAAATAAGGACTATGTGGGAGTTCCCCTCGATTCCATTGGCTCTGACGATTAGAAAGAGATGTCACATTTCAAAATCCAGCAAGGGAAGCCAGAGATATGAAAAATCCACCCAAATGGCCCCAGAAGAGGTTTTTTTTGCTAAATCTAAAAAGGTCAAATATCACTTGTTTTGCATCAATCTTGATACAGGGTACTTATTATATGTTGTACTTTGGATTCCTAAAGCTTTTAGTCCTGAGACTGCCAAGGCACACNTTTCACTATAAGTACAAAATATTTTTGGACGGACACTATAATTTACAGTTTTTTACCATGTTCAATCTGAATTTCATTTAAAATAAAAAAACATCTATATTGAATCTGACTTTTCTACATCCAGCTGACAGGTTTATAATTACTTTGAGAAAAAAGATGATTAATTTAACCCTTTTAGAAGGGAAGATATGGTCATTTGTTCTGGGAATGTAATTTTCGAGCCTGAAACCTGAAAAACAGGCTCAGGGTTTAACAGGTTGATAAGGACAAAACAATAATGCAAAAAATGACTTGGTTCATTTAGAAAATCAATTAAAAAACGTTTAACATAATGTGAACGTGTCAATCATGATGTAGTTTCTCACCAAAATGGCGACTGTTTGAATAAGGTCAACGGTAGTTCACCATGCTGTATAATAGACTTTTAATGTTGGTTATCTGAGGTAAGAAAAGCTGCTCCCATTTTCTTACAAGAGCTGATATAACTCTTGTGTGAAAGAACCTCATTATCATTTGCTCCTATTCAATCTGCCAACCACTATTTCTTCTTGACAACTTGGCACCTACTTGTGAGTACAGCGTCAATGAGCCTTTAAGCACTTTAGATATAAGGACTTAGCTGACTTTCTGGTGCCTTTCAATAGTTTGATTTCTGAGTATAAAGATTGTTTTTCCCCAGATGACCAAAGGAATTTCAGTGCTTGTTATACAATGTCCTTCACTTTAATCACAATTGAAAGAATATTCTCAGTCTGAAATTAAGAATATGTAATCTAAAAAATAAATTCAGTACATAACATAACATTGGGTTTTCGTATAGACTAATAAGAGTTAAACATTTGTATTTCTATTACTGCAGAAGTGCTGGTAGTTCAAAGCGGAGCTAGCTGTAGCCGAGCTTATAGGGATACTTCTTAAAAACTACTCCTACTATTTTGTTGTTCAAAAAAAGGCTGGCTGACTGATTTACAAAATAATTAAACATGTATGTCTACAGAGAACCCTTTCTCCTAAAACATTTTGTTCCCGACTACTAAACTGCATTCTCAATTACGTTTGTGGCGTAACGTATTTTCTACCGGATCAAAGTCCCAGTTCTAAACACGTGGTTAGGGTTAGGATTAAAGTTTTAAATAACAGAACACAACAAAAATACTTGGTTATTTATTTAAGGAACAAACTACTTGGTTGGTTTTAAAACAAAACTTCAATAACATTCATGGAATCAATTCTGTTTTAGTAACAGACATAAGTTAATAATAAGTTTACTTTTGGTTTAAACCAGTAAAATTAGAAATGTATTTTTTGCATCCAAAAAACAAAAATGCAATCAGAGAGATAATGTGCTTCCCTTTTAAAGGTTACTGTAATTTTGTTGAACATCATTTTTAACACCAACAACATCGAAAAAGGGATGATTTAAGTTCAATCTCAAGTCTAAAATTGTGTTGAGTCAAGATCAAGTAGAACAATGTATCAACACCACATCATGTAAGTGTGATACTATTTAATTCATTAAAGTCATTTTGGTAACAAATCCCATGCATGCTTTGGACTATGCCTCACCCAGCTGACATTGCTCTGCTCTGAGGAAGTCACATGTGGCAGGCTCGTTATCTGATTGGCTGCAGCTGGGGAGTGTGGGGTGGGGGGAGCTGGCAGAGTTTAAAAGGAAAACTACTGCATCATTCTCTGTTTGTCTGTCTCTATGGGAGGAGGATGGCTTTATTTGTGTTTGGTTTAGCTTTTAATCAAAAACGTGCTCCAACAGGTTAGTGGTAGTGCGGACAGCCGATTACCATTGAGAAAGACAACATTTCCAGAAGCACATGGCAAATTATTGCGCATGATGCATTTGACCAACTACCTATACATCAATAGAAGCCCAGAACCTTGTTGTTAGTTTTGGCTGGATATGTTGATGTCCTGCATTTTAAAAAAAACAACAAAAAAGAACACTCCAAATATCAAAGAATTGTTCTGATTTTTCAAAATCCCCTAGTTTAAGTCTCAAGTCTTTGAATGGCTAAGTCAAGTCTTGAGTCAAAAGGCACATTATTACAGTATCCTGTCTCATACAACTACACTGCATTCTTGAATGTGTTTTGAAGGAAACATATTTTATATCGAGCCAAGTATTTTAAATGTTCTACATAGTAAGCTAGAGACTCATACGTAGCTAATAATAAGTTGGCTAGAAGAAAACTATAATAGAAAAAAATATATATTTATTGACATAAGTCTGTAGTGGGTTTTCAAAAGGACATTAAAATGAGAAATGAAGAACAAAAATCAATACAACAATAAGTTATATTTGTAAGTGGCTTGACAATGGTAGAATGAGGTTCTATAAATGGCCGCCTTTGTGAATGTTTATATTTGTAGACTGATCTCACAAAATCCCAAAAAAGGCAGGGTTTTAAATAAAAATAGAAACAGGGTGTTGTGTTCAAACTGATAATTGGACTACTCTATTTAAGGTGACAAACACTATGCACCCTATCTATTTACTTGCGAAAAATATAAAGGTAGTGTCCTCGATGTGCTTTGGCCACAAACACATTCCACATTTTGTTCCACCACACACAGTAGGCTATGCATTTCAAATGGTTCTTGTTCCTCAGAATACTTTTGGGCTTCTGCATATGCTTTTGAAGAATTGCAGTAAAAGGTTGCTTGGAAATGTGACCTATCTCCTAAAATAGGCCACATGAAAAGCCTCCAAGGCAGGGTACAATAAAGGGAGACAGATAGCAGAAACAGACTTTGAGGTTAGAACAGTTTGAAGAGAGTTGAAATAAATGTGACATACAGAGGTTTGCATTCTGATGAGTGTTGCCTGTGGACGTCTGTGGTTGTCGGTCTGCTCACCTCCTCTCCTTACACCTCTCCCTCTTCTCCGTACGACCTCCGTCTTTGTTCTGGTCTCCCCAACCCCACAAGTCTCCCCGTGTCCGCTGTCACCATAGCGGCAAACAGTGGTTTTGAAAGGAGACACGGGGGCCCTCAGTGTCCCCTTTGGAACCATCAGGCCCCTTTTTTTAGTGGAATCGCACCCCGTTCCCCACCACTGTCCTCCCCCTGACCCCGGTCACACACTGCTGCTCCCAGCATAAGCTACACTGTTCCCAGTACCTGTGGGGGTGGAGGGGGGGGGGAGTGTGCAGTAGTCACAATGATTTTAACACCTCCACCGAACCCTCAACACCTACGCCCCCACGCATGCCTTGTGTGTGTGTGTGCTGTGCGTTCATCACCCCCCACCCCCCCAAAAAAAGAAAAGAGGGCTTGACGGATTGTAGAGGAGGAAACAGTTTTATAACATTTGATGCTGTTCTCTTGGCTGTTTTCTAAACTAGGTGTCAATTCACAACAGGCTTCAGACGTACCAGCTCAGCAGCATGGCTCCGAGTCCCGAGAGCGTGGCCCTTCTTAACCACCGGGGGGAGCTGCTCTTCCAGCAGGGGCCCCAGGGGCTAACCTACGGGCCGGTGCCTCCCCCTCAGCACCCGCAGCTGCAGTCAGCAACAAGCACCCCCGCCCACCACCTCCACCTCCAGCAGCACCACCAGGCGGCCGTCAGCATGTCTGATCTGAGGCCCGAAACACTGATCCAGTGTCAGCAGATCGTCAAGGTCTTCATGCTGGACAACAGCGGCCACGGACACATGGAGGCCTTCCTCAGCCAGACCCCCACCCACCACCACTACCAGCACCACCACCACCACCACAGCCACCACCAGCTCAGCCACTCGGCCATGTCCACCCCGGTGCACTCGCCGGACAGCTCTCACGGCAACGACGGCCACCAGCCCCCGCTGCCCCCCCCACCTCCGCCTTACAACCACCCACACCAGTACATACCCCCAGACCCTCGCCTCAGTCTACACCGGACCCCAAGTGGCTCACGGAGCATGGTGTAAATAAATAAATTAGTAGTCTTTCCCTAAAACACCCACGTTCACACACCCTAACCCCACCCCTTCTCTACCTATTTAAAGAGTACATAATGTACATATATACATACAGATGAAAGAGCTATAATAAAAAAATGAAATCTCACTTATATGCATATATTTAAGGAAAGAAAATAAACTAAAAGAAAAAGTTTCAAAAGAGAAACGGAGAAATAAAGTGCATATATACAGTTTTACTTGATTCCACATGTATTTTGAAATATTATGTAGTTTTAACAAATTTCTAAAACTTTTTGTCAGTTTTAACTCTTGCTAGGAAAACACAGATATTCAGTTTCAGGATGGATGTCTTCTCGTTGCATCCTCAACAGAAATGGACTGTGATGGATCGACACCTTCCAAGGACCCTCTGCTTCTGTCCGCTCTCTTCATCCCCCCCCCCCCTCATGCCTACTGTGCTGTATGTGCGCCTGCGTGCATAGTGAACACTTACTGAAAACCTGTGCCAAAATACATAGCCTCCACCTTACACTGACTTCTTTACACTTGATTAAACGCTAGGGCTAGAAGAAAATACAAATAAAAACTCTATCCTTTACTTTAAAACAGCCCTTTCATGCTTCTCCCTCAAGGACCACAAAAAAATAAAATAAAACTGATATTCCATTAAAAAGAAAACACTATCTCCGGTTAGTGCTGTTTTATTTTGGTGATTGAGAGTCTTCTCTCTTCTTCTCTGCTGCCCTGGATAAAAAAATACGAAAGAAGAAACGATATCCTGCGATAAGCTGCGTTTTTCCTCCGTTCCTCTGTTGTGTTGTGGCTCTCTATCATGAGAAAACACTCTCACTCAATTGTCACTCTCCATAGATCATCATACAGTGAAGTATGACAGGAAACAAAGGCGACCAATCACATCATAAGGATGCTGCCAAAACCAAAAAGTCGGACCGGGATTCTCCTGTTGTTTGTCTTTCACTCTCCATGTGTAATATCGCTAACGCTTCCCAGGAGTAATGCCACATGTTTTCTGCTGATGGCGGGGTTTTTTCATACGCTGAAATTGTTTCAGCTGCTGAAACTCCTCTCGGATTTTTCTAGAACTCGATACAGCATTCACATGTAATAAATGTCCTGTAAACTGTGCTGTCACCTGTTGTGAAACGCTCCATCGCTTCTTCAGGGACATCGCCATGAATTTCCATGAAGATTGCTTCTGCAACTGTTAACTGTCAAGATCTGTGTTCTATTATGGTTTGCGTAAAAAGCATATTCAACCTTTGTGTGTTTTCCCCACAAAACATCCAGACACTGTCTCTTTATGTCCGTACATCTCGCAGGTTTTGTTTCAGATCCTCTCTTTTCCCTCCAAACATTTTAGTCTGACATTTAGAACAAAATAACTAAAGAGACACACACACACAGCTTATATTGCAAATGGTGGCATTAATGGTATTGTTTGTGCTGTTTGCAAGCCTGCTTTAAATAAGAATAGGACAAAAAGAATGCTGATCTCTTTCTATTTCACCCCAGCCTAGATTGTAAATATCACATTGGAGCAGTGTCGGAAAGGACAACAAGCTGCCTTTAGCCTCGTCAAAATGCTATTACCCTGTCACACGTCCCTCGTTCGGAAATAGGTCAACATCCATCTTTTAAACAATAGCCCCACCAGGTACTGCGTGAATAACATTTGATTAACTCAGCCCCCATCTGACCCGCACCTGTCTGGTTTGTTGGTTTATTCTCAAAGAGCCACTGGAGGGAGGTCTCTATCTCATCTTTGTTGTCCTTTTGCGCTCAACATTCCCCTCATGGAAAGACAAAGGTTGCAGGAAAAAAAGGCGGAGATAATGAGTGTTTGACCTCACAGTAGCATCCTAACTTTCCTGTCAACAAATCCAACTTCATGCTTTTGTTTCACGGCACAATAAGCTGAATTAACGCTTTCATTAATGAATAAAGAGCTGTTATGACAGTTTTAATATTTTTTACTGGCTATGAATAAACGTATGGAGGTTACGTAATACAAATCAGTTGCAACAGTTCTGACATTATGGATTTTAGAGGGATGTATGATGATTGTATGATTGCTAATTTGTTTAGATCGAAATTCAGATATAAATGTGATATCGTTTTCTCATGCATGCCATCAGGCCTATTGAACTTTGATTCCCAAAGGTTTAGATTATTTTGTGCATGACTGAATCTGCTGTGAGCATACCAGTGGGAAATGAGGATGACAGATGTTTTAGTTTCTGGGCTAGCCAAAAAAAAAAGCAAACAGTCGAACAGAAAATGGATTTACAACAGCAAATGTAAGGCCTAACAATCGCCATTTTTGTGTGTCTGTCCGTCACAATTCTTTAGTTGCAAACTTGGTAATGTGTTGAAGCTTTTTTTGGGAAAAATACATCCTTTGTGTGAAATATAGTGAAAATGATGAGTTTATGTTTGAAAGGAAACCAATGTAGCATTTTGGGAGTGCAGCATATGATATTGAAGCGCTGTAGTGGCTAACTTTCTTAAAGAAATTAAAAAAGGGCTCTGCCATACCAGTGCACCGCTTCATAAAAGACATATCGACTTGGTCTGGCTCTTCAACACTGTGTTTGCTCATATAGTTCAAATAAAAATGACATATTTAAGGTAAGAACAGGTGGAAACTGAGTGTAACAGATATGAACCATCACCTCCCTCCTTCTCTACCTGTCTGTTTGCAATATATCAAGCTATTAAAGATGATTTAAGTCTATTCACTACAGTGGTTTGTTTTGGTTCTTTTGATTTTGTAGTTTGAATTAAAAAAAAAATGAAAAGCCACCATTGGCCAATTTGTTAAGACTTGCTATGGAAATATGTTTTATTTTGAAAGGGTGTAACCAAGACTCGTATCAGCAAAAAAAAAACAGTAAAGAAGAAACACGAATCAACATGTGCCATATCCTCCTTCATATACACAGCCTCTTCCTTGGTTAAAGTGGTTATAATCAATATGTTCACTTCGTTATAATAAACCTAAAGAACATTATAAGCAAACTCTGCTGTATAAACGGTTTCAAATCAACTGCTAGATGTGTATATAAGGAAAATATACAGGTAATATGTCAGTCTTTTGTTTCGGACTGGTTTCTGCTGCCCCCAAGTGGCCAACAATGAACTACAGCTTTAAGGAGTCATGTGTTTCTTAACCTTCTGTTTTTTTGTAATATTGTTGGACTGTTTGTAGCATTTAACCATAAATCAGAAGAACTTATCTTTAACTTTACTTATTGTTCATTTTGTCTCTTTTTCTGCAAATTAATGATCCTAATTTGAGTGTGGGGCTTTGAGGTTATTATAGTTACAAATGTGTTTCTCTTTGTTCTGAGTCTTTTGTAGGTCTGAATCAGCAAAGACAAAAAAAACTAATGGATGACCCACATATTTTATTGCTGGAAAAAATATCACAGTGGCTGGTTGGTTCTTTAAGCTACCAAAAGCAAACCATTTTTGATGCATTACAGTTTTACACCTAGAATCAAGTTTTACCAGATTTGTGTTATTTTTCTGTGCAACACATTTAAGACATGTGTGGTAAGCTTTTAGACCAAGACAGTGGTTTTGTTGAATGGAAGAGAAAATATACAAGTATAGGAGAAAGATATACAGTCACATGAATGGTATATTTGTGATATATGTACACAGGTTCAATGCTGATCTATAACATTCAATCAGAGTTTACTCTTTTATTGCAACAGGAAATATTCTATATTCTACATTTATTTTAAAAAGTGTCTCATCATTTTCAAGTTTTCCATAATATGTATGATGGAGAAAGTAATGATTGTAAATTGTTTTACAAGACCCCATCTGTTCAATTGTCAAATTCAATGTTGACTATAGTAAGTCCTGGCAGATGGGAATTATTTCAACCTGAACGATCCTGGCTAGACACGAGCTTCGCCCACGCTCCCTGTGTGTGTGAATTCTTCATGCCCCGATGGCTTCTTATCATCCCGCGGTGTTATCATCTTTCGCCAACGCTGGTCAAGTAAAGACAGCAACATCACATTAGCATTAAAGAACCAGGGGAGACAGGGGAGTAATACATAGATCAAAATCAACAATGAAATAGTGTGAATGTACTGTAATCTGTTTAATTCAAGGAAAAGCAAAGGGAACTAAATGTTAAATAGAATCAGATTTGTACAAATAGCCAATGAAAATATGGTTTAGCTGCATGCAAACGCTAACAGAATATTAACTCAGTAACACAATGCTAACCTTACAATAACGTACTTTACTAGTTAAAAACAGAATAATGATTTTTGTTCTTTAGCCAAACCAATTTTGTTATGCTCCTTACTGCACACTAAATCCCCCCCTGCTTCTTGAACCATATCTCTCGACAATTGTTTCCCCCCCCCATTTCCACTAGTTCCACCTGTTAGTATCCTACCTAGACATTGGAAACAGAGACATGTGTAGAGGTTTGTACCTGTTTGATGCTGCCCTTGGTGACAGAGAACATGTAGATGAGATAGCCCGGGATCAGAATCATGGAAGACAAAGCCATGAACCAGCCAATCAACTGGCCCCACATCGGGTACACATACTTCCCCAAGGTCAGAGGGGTCATCTCAATGGCACTGAAGGTAAACACCCCCTAAAATATGCAATTTTGTTATTTAGTCCATATAATCTGGGCCAGCTACAGAATGCACTATAGTGTTGAAGACATCTAGTATTCCCAGAGGTATCGATATGATTAATTCCCTCCATAAGGGAGAAGATGCCAGTTTGAAAAAAGCAAATGATGGACATTTAATCAATAATCATTCCCGCCTACCAGGCATATCAGCGGAGTGAAGTACTTCCAACAGAGCATCCACCAGCCACATGGCCTATAGCCGATCATGCTCTCAATGTCCTTGTAAAACCTTTCAGCTCCTGTGGAATGAAGAGAGGAAGACAAACAAAGGAAGTGAGTGTGTTAATGTGGAGATAATTAGCACAAGAACAAAGCTATATTGGGTGAAAGATCGGGAAGGCTGATTGGACGGAGAGCCTTATCAGAAAAGTTGGAGCAGATAGACTCCCTGTAATTTCCTGTTGCACGGCTACAGTGTTTAGGCCTATTGGAAATCGACATGTTTGATTCATTAAGTCGCTTTTTCTCATTTTATTTTAGATGTGGTTTGTTGGGTTCAAGAGTAGACTGCATGAAATAGATTTCCTACCGTAGATCCAGGAAATGGAAACGGTTTCAAAGAAGACGAGGTAGAGGAGACACATCCCACTGGCAGAGTAGTAATCAAACAGCTTGAACACGTACAGACCACCCTGGGAGGTTTGAACACACACAGAGACACACATATCAGAGGCTGAGGATTAATACACCTCTTCATTGATTAAAATATGCCTTATGAACGCACACCACAGAATTTTGTGCAATCTTTGTCATAATGCAGCAGAGGTCTCTTTTCTGTATGTGCTTTGAAACATCCACCTTTTCATAATACTCATACACACATTCTGCAGCACAAAGTATAAGCTAATCTATCGAGATGTACACAACTGTTTCATCCTCCAAGTCTTCTAACTGTACCTGTGTTATGTTGGAGAAGCCGATGATGAAGGAGACGAGGCAGACACAAAGGATGAAGAGCTTCTTCCTCTTCCTCAGCAGCATGGGATACTCATCCATCAGAGATGTGATGAAGCCTTCTACTGTGCAGAACTGATACATGACATCATAAAGAGATATGTTTCAGAAAGTACTGCCGTTTGTTATTAAAACCACTCTTATTTAGCATTGTTAAACTCATAATGGACGTCTTTGACAGTCATCAAGAGCACCACACACTTTTAAAGGTCCCCTATTATACTTTTTTTCATCAATATATTATAGGTCTCAGATATATACAAAACATGTCTCTGAAGTGTTTGGCTGGAAATACCAAACAGATCATTGTAGCATCCCATAATCCCCTCTGTTTCAGCCCTGCTTCAAAACTGCTTATTCTCTGTCTGTTACTTTAGATGAAAATAAGGAGCCACTCCCCACGCCCCTGTGAGAGATATTTGGTTAAAAAGAACACAATGGTGCTCTAGGAGGAGATTCAGGTGATAAGGTGGGGGGGGGTTACCTTGGTTGGTGATTGGCTAATGGTTACACAAGCCAAAAAAACGTTATGACATCATAAAATGGCCAAAATCTGATCAGCTCATTTTCAGAGAGGTTTATATATAAATGAATCAGGACAAAAATAGAGCTAATCTTTTTTCCTGAAACTTTCTGAATCTCTTAACGCAGAGGGGACACATGTTTATGTATAAAAGACATGAAAAAGTGGATTTTGCACAATAGGTGACCTTTAATTATGTATGCTAAACTTTGATCTAATAGCTTTTGATGGTATTTAAGAGTAAAGCATGGCTACAGGGCCGATTAAGAACAAAAGTCTTATAAATATATAATCCTATCTGTGTAGCAGCAGGTGAAGTGTGTGCTCTTTGTACCTGACTGTCCAGGCCCAGCATCATGAGCATGGAGAAGAAGAGGATGGCCCAAAGAGAGGACATGGGCAGCTGGGTGACGGCCTGAGGATACGCTAAAAAGGCCAGACCTGGACCTAAATGTCACAAACAAGACAAAACAAATACTTTACAAATGCCTAATCTTAGACATTACACTGTAACCTACTGAAATGCATTAGAATCGATGTATACATGTCAAAAAACCTAAGAAACAGGACACAAGCACCTTTTTAAATACATTTTACTAACCCTAAACCTAACCCTTTAACCCCAAATCCAGTATATTCACTCAAATGTGCAGTGAGATTATTTTGTATTTGTATTTTGACATAACATGTCTGAAGTTTAAAAGACAATTTATTCGCTGTTTATAAAGAAGGATATTGGTTCTATTATTTTACCATAGCTTAAAGGTAGGGTAGGTAATTCACTTCAGAAACACTTTTTGTTACA